TTTTGATCAATTTTGGGTATTTTGGCAAAATTTGGGAATATTAGCCAAATTTGGGTCCCAAGGGCAGTTAGGTAATTTGGAGGTGCCTAGGGGCAAAAGACCAAGTTAAGCATTCCACATAGAATTGGATAAATATCCATTCTAAATGAACCATGGATTAATACATTGTGAAGATATGGTGTATCCTAGTTCCAGGGTCAACCCTAAAGCCAAGTAATCCTGTAGGGATTCTTCTTAAATTCTCTTATAATGATCTTACCTACTAAATGCTAGAGGTTAAGATCAATATGTGGAATTTCAAGTTGAGTAAAGAGAAGAGTTTTGAGTTTCTAATGGTGAGGGTATCTTTTCTAGTTTTCTAAGACTAGTCAATAGGAAAGTCCTATGGCTAGACCTAGGCTACTAAAGAAGTTTTCTAGACCTCAACCAAAAGTGAGGTCAACAGATCGTTGAATTTCAAAAGTTTGGATTAATCACTTTAACAAAATACAAAAACTTTGTACATTTAAGTTAGGTTCAAAGCCAACAGGCTAGAACTATTTTGCCTTGGAATTTAGCTAGTTTCCTATGGGATCGCCCATGGACTTTGTTATGTATACTACTTGTACGGCACATACACTTGCGTGATTCGCCAACGCTTAACAGAATTTGATTCATATCACTTGACACTTCTCGACTACCTCAAAAAATTCCACATAGTTGAGCCTTATCAGAAGCATTCACCATCTATCCTTGGACCGATTCAAGCAAGAGAGTGCATATCAAAGTTCTACCACAATTCCATCAATTCAAAAAGTTAAACCTAGCTCAACAATTTAGTAAGAAGTTACATATAGCGTTATGAATTTGTATCATTATTCAAGTCTTGAAAACCATGGTATATTGTTGATATTTATTTTTAGCTTAAGTGGTTATTTGAATTTTAGGTATTGTAATCACTTTTACTCACCAACTTATATGTTTGTGGATCCATAAGGTCAATGTATGATGTTTAAAATTTTCCATAGAGTAAAATGCATGACATTTAAATTTAGTAATTGGTACTTAGCTTTATAACATTTATAATTTAAGGGTGGGTTATAATTCATCTTAGCAGTTTAGCATATTTATATAATCCTCTTAGTTGGGAGCATAAACATACCCAAATTTAAATTGGTGCTCCTGTGGGGGCAATAGAGTCTCTTGCTCCCATTGGACAATCCTGTTAGCATAAATTTTATAGTATTTTTTTTAATTAAACCGAACATTTGTAATTTTAAGTTTAACAACCATTATCACGTGTGAATGAGCTTTATGTAACAATATAAAGATTAATGGCATTGTATACACACCCAACAATATTATTTTGTATCTATATTGTCTTAATATTTCACATTTTGCGGATTAAAAGAAGGTTTTATTTATTAAAGCAATGTTAGACAATCAGGGAGAAAATTAGAGTTTAACAAGTGAACCAAGACCAACATTGGATACAGGGTTTATGTTGACGATGTCTCTGAGGAAATAAAGATGGTTGTTTTTCTAAGTTAACTTTAAGTGGAGAAATTAGGTCTTTCAGAATCTTTTTAGAGCGTCCTCTTTTAATTCTTCAATTTCTTCTACAAACATAATGATGAAATGATCGTCCATGTGGGACTGTAAACAAGTCAAATAAAATCTTTTATTTGAATTTTGGGGTGTCCATAATAATTTTTATATCAAATAAGCTCCCTAATATGTTTAAAAGAGGATAATAACTCAAATTCAATTGGTAAAAAAAGATTTTTATAATATAATGTAGAACAATCACACACACACACACATCAAAACATGAAAGCTTTAAGAAAAATTATATATAATGCTCTTGTTGGTAATTTTTTCTTAGGATTCATTAAATTTTTTTTTTAATACATTAAAATTCTAACAAAAAATTTTTAAAACTACCAGTATTGGTTCACCCAGGATGAAAACATTTGTGATGCTTTTGAAATCATTAATTAGTTCCCACACTAAGTAAAACCTTGGCTCCTTCCCTGCCTAAATTATGAGCAGGATGTATGCTTAAACAAACTAGTTGAACTAGTCAACATTATCACTAATCAATTCTCCTTAAAACACAGAATCAACTAAGATTTCAGCATACCTTCCATTATTGTATCAACTAAGATACAATAACCTTTGGAAAAAAAAAGCATCAAACTACTGAAATGCATCAAATTAAAATGTGAGATAAGGGCCACTCCTATCCTTCAATATTTACCATAATAAACCAAATTTGTTGCATTAATAGGGTTTTCCTAAAGGATACAAATATATCCCAAATCATAATTTTTTAGCTACAAAATCAGATGCATATTAAACTTATAAAACGAGCCACACCCTATGCCTATAAACTCTCAAACCCAAAGACCAAAGCTTTAACTCGAACAGTCGTTTGAAGAAAGAAATTTACCAAGATCAATTTGATTACACATAAGGTTACTCAGTTGAATATCAACTGCCACAATCATCATGTTGCTTGATATGAATTTTTTCTCAAATCGAAACCATTTCCTTGTCCAATGCTAGCATAAGAAGTGCCATTCCTTGTTTATCATTTTAAGGAATTTTTATGAATTTTTTGTTGGTTGTTTGGCGTGCTAAAAAATAAATAGTGTAAAAAATATATAATGTAAAAGTAATGTATCGCATTTGAAAATAAATTGAACATATTTGGTTCAATGTAAAATAAATAAAAGGCTTCAAATTTTTTCATTTGAATCGATAAAACTTAAAATCAATTTAAAATACATTCAGTGGGGGGTGGAGGCAACATCAACTATGAAGTGAGGCGATCAATAGTGGTGGGAAACACCAGAGAGAGACAACAACCGACAGGCTATCAATTGGGTGGCATGACGGTAATGTCCCGCAGGCTACCACAGGGTGGTGATGGTCAATAGGGACCCGTGGCAATGGCTGTGATGAGTGGTGCCTCCTAGAGGGCAAATTGTGGTAGCTGGCAGGCGGTGTGTTGTGGAAGCCAACGTATGATGATGGATGGCACTTAACATAGTTAAAATTTATCTAAATCCAACGAATTCTAAATGCATTAAAATTGAACTTTTGTAAAATGAATACAATGCACTTTTTTTAATACCAACAAAAAAAACCCCCTTTAGTCTTACGACTAATCATTGGTTCACCTAGGCCAGTTTAGTTCAATAGTGTTACAGGTCTTGATCCTTTGTGGATTGAAAAGGGTCGTAATCTATTTAGAGCTTATACATTAATAAGAATTGCAGAACAAATTGTTAACAATTCACTTCAAATTAATTGACGGGTTGATAAAATTAGTCTTCAATGATAAAGAAGCAAAAAAAATGATCTATACCAATAAAAAGGGCAGTAACAATAGGTAGAATGAAGTCAACGTGTCATGGCAACAACAGGGATTTATAAAAAAGCAATACAAATACCTAAATGAAGCTAATGAAGATGATCATTATTGAATGAGTTTAGATTAATCGATGCCGTCTCTTTAAATAAAACCTGAGGAAACTTAGCAGAAGCCAGAAAATACCCTTTTTCGTAAGGTTTAACTCGTGCAATATTATTGATTTTGAAAAGACAGCATACATGCCATCAAAATTGACCTTTACACAATGTAAACACAGTATATATGCCCGTAGTACAGTGCTGAAAAGAGCGACCAATATACACCGTCAAATGCATCAAAATTTTAAAAGTTTAAACACAGGTTTGCAATTGATTTACAAATTTAATAATAAAAAAGAGGCATTTGCATGCATATTACACAATTCTTATGTATTTATAGATTTCACATCTAAACATTCATATTTAAACACATAGCACTCAAATCTTTAATTTCACATCAGAAATAACACTATTATAACTTTTTAAAAGGCAAATACATATTTTCATGCATAGGTTTAAAACACCAAAATGCTATGTATGTCAATATAAAAATTTAGGTGTCAGATTTGTAAATACATAAGAAATGTGAGCTATGAAGGCAAATTTCATTGAAAAAATACTAACCAATCAACTCTCTACCTCCGCAGGAATCTGTTCAGCATTGTTTTTTGGGATGGAACTTCATTCCCATCATCATTCCTAGGCTCTGAGATGGTTTTGAGAGCGCATCGGAATACAGAGTTTGACTGCTTCCTCAGCATTGCATTGTCTATTATCGTGCTTATCAGCATCCTTCGCATCCCCTCCACTTCTGTAACTGGATCACCATCACAGATGGCAATGACATCTTCAGAAGGTCCGACTGCCTTCATTTCATTCAGGTTAAAGTTGGTTTCCTCGTCTTCTTGAGCAAGTAATTGTGCCTATATCAGGATTCACACTCAGATATTTTTTTTCTTTTTCAATAGTTCAAAACCCCAAAATAAAATTCTTCCGAAAGATCGAACAACACAAAAATGAATGAAAGTGCAATTTTAAAGATCAGGCTTGCACCGGTGTAGCTGTTTAGAAAATCTGACTCTGACTTGGTGAGCAAGTTGGAGCAGCTTCAACACCATCATCATTATCCAAACTATTCCAACTACTTATGGTTAGATTTATGAATCATCTGCCATTCATTCCTATTATACGAGTTTTTCACCCAATTAGGATAATCTCTTTACATTTTATATAGTTATGCTACTTTCATTCTATTCCTTCTCTTTTTTTCTAGAAATTTATGCTCATAATACTCAATTTCTATATATTTACATATTTAAAAACTAAACTTTAAAATTACAACAATATTGTTTATATAAAATGAAAGATTTGGGTGGTATAAATATAAATAATTAAATTTAGACGTTAGATATGTAAATACATAGGAATTAGGTGGTATGTATAAAAATCCTGCTTCTTTTTCGTAATCATTCAATATCTATTTATTAACCTCTATTATTAGAATTTTTAATGTGCGAACCAAGGGTTAATTTTCTACTACATTAGTTACACTAACTATGCCTTTAATTTATATAAAATGTACATAAATAATATGTCAGCACGAATCTCAAGGAAACCTAACGGACCAAAATAAGCATGGTCAAAAAAGGCCAACTAAGGATCAAAAGACACATCACGTGAGCCTACAAGGTTCAATGCTTCACAATTCCCTCTCGAAGCCGTATTCCAAGCTTATCAAATGAAAGTTACCTGGGTCAAAGGTCAAAACATATCTAATCGACCCAATTCTCACAACATCAGGAGTCATCTCAGAGGAATACCTTCAGACTTGCCAACTGTATGAAAGTGTTTATCATGGAACCGATAAGAGCACCACGATGGTTCTCCTGTGAATGGGGTGGGCTAACTATCGATTACTGTGATTCACCCTCTGCTCGACGGCATAGCCCCATCCTAATCATAAGAGTATCACCCAAGGGGGGTCAAAAGTCGACCAATGGACCAAAACAGTCGACCGACCAACCAGGAGGACCGAGCGAAGACCTGAACAACCAAAAGATAATTCAAGTCGGCCAGTTACCCAAACCCAGCAAAATCTGTCGATGGACATTGCCAATCCAAGGATTACAACCTCAGGCGGCCGAGTGGTAGGACAGTCGAATTGAACTTTTTTTTATTAACATATTTATTTATTTGTTTATGACTAAATTACTTGGTAGCACTTCTATTAAAACAGTGGTAAGCAGGTAATCTTATTTCCTGTACGCCACTTGCCTATAAATAGAGGTGTCAATTCTACAGTAAAAAGCTAATCAACTGGGTGAATTAAATCTCTTGAATATCTACTCAACTGTGCTCTCTCTCTCTTTCTCATATTCTCTCTCCTATTTCTAAGCTCTATTCCATGAGAATGATTCGCAAAGGACAATTTCAGATTCAACATTCTGAAAGCTGTGGTGAGCGTGTATCATGCCTACAGCAAGAAGATGAGCACCACCCAACATAAGAAGCCCGCCAGGGAGACTCTGCTAACATAGAGTGCACCCAAGTGTTTGTGCAACAACAAATACATGAGTAGAAGAACCAAATGATGAGCCGGATGGAGGCCATCAGAAAAGTTGTAGCTAGAGGAATGAAACAGACCCCTCAGGAACAGAACAACCAGGACAAAGGGTTGATGCTCAACGACCGAAGGGAAATCCAAGCCCCAAAAGAACAAGACTCCTAGTACCAGAACAACGCTATGTCCACAGCTTGACAAACAGAGTTTTAGGCACACTAAATCATCTCTTAAATCCTACAAAGTCCAGACTGATCAGGCAGACCACCTCATGTCATTTAAATTGGCAATTTTCAAGTTGGGGATCACCGACGCTCTCAAGTGTCTCCTCTTCTTCAACAAGCTGAGTGATCTGGCCCAAATGTGGTTTAACGGACTACCGCCTAGAGTAATCAACTTCTTCGCCGATCAGAAGGATGTTTGTGCAACCTTCGCCAGTGCAAAAAAATTGCAGAAGAGTTCACATGTCTTATGCAGGTAATGCAAGGGCACACTAGAGCCTTTGTTCGTTTATCACCAAACTCTAGAAGGAGGTGCTAGAAATTCGAGAAGTGGAACCAACTATTGCACATGTTGCCCTAACCAAAGGGATAAAGGAGGGACCTTTCCGCTATGCAGTAAGCCACCCATGACCTAAAACTCTAGCCTAATTGTTGGAGCTGGCCAACAATCATATATTGGCCGAGAAGTATAACTTTACCCGTTCGGTTGCCAGGGAAAAAGGAGCCACCAATCACATGAAGAAAAAGGCCCCGAAGGTTGACGGACCGAGATCGAGGAAAAATGGGCATTCCCTCCGCTCAGTCGTATTACGAAAACAACTGGCCGCCCCAAGATAATATGGGGGCCGACAGAAATAACAACAGAGGAGAGAGCAGATACTCTAACAAGCAGTCAGCTCACAATTACGAGTTGCTATCTGACAACCACGAAGCACTAAAATTAACCCTATAGAGGGTCACCATGGTCGAGCTAGTGGCGGACACTCAAAAGAAAGAGTACATAAAAAAAGCCACTGATGTGGGCTGGAGCTTTCCTCTGGGATGCCAAAAAGTACTGTGCATACCACGAAACCATGGCTATGACATGGAGGAGTGATGACACCTCTGGAGCTTGATCGAGTAGCTGATAAAAGCTGAAAAGCTCGAGTTTATAACGCCGAGAGCAGCAACTCAGAAGTAAGGAAAGAATCCAGTTGAGGAGATATTGAATGAGCCAATTTAAACCAACGCCATCCATATCTTTAGATCTGTACCAGCAATCCTCAGAGTAGAAGATTCGTCTTGACGGGCCTATCAGAAATAGCTCAAGCAGAGCGACCTTGCGCAACCACTTTTGCTCCAATAAATGCAACACCCATCCACTAATCATTTTCATTGATGCAGATCTTCCCTCCAAAGGGACCCCCTACAACAAACGCCATCGTTGTCACTGCCATAATCAGCAACTACCGGATTGGTAGCATCCTGGTCGACACTGATAGCTCAATCAATATCCTGTCCCAACTAGTGTTCGATAAGATAAACCTTCCAGCCAACCGACTAACAGCACCGACCGTACCACTCTTTGGATTCTCGGGCTAGAGGAAGGAAACACTGGGAGAGGTTGCATTAACAGTCACCTGAGGGGAGGGTGACAATTTATGCATATAGAGGACTTCCTAGTGGACTCCACATTGACTTACAATGCAATCTTCGGTCTTCAATCAATGAATGACTACATGGTCATGGTATCCACATACCACATAGTGGTAAAATTTCTGGGTGGCGATGAGATCATTGCTGCTCACGGAAACCTGGAGCAGTCTCAAATTATTACCTCCGGGCAATCAATAGCATCGAGCAGAAGCCGCTCAATCTCAAACACCAAAGAGAATGGGGTCTCAAGACCAATGAGACCATCCTTAAAATACTTGTTGCGAACGAAGAATCCGGTAAATGCTTTCTAATAAGCGGAATTTTTTATGAAGAGTGCGGAAATTTGCTAATCCAGACTCTCCAAGAGCATAGGGGTGTATTCGCCTAGTCAGCGGTGGAAATGCCCAGGATACCGCTCGACGTCGCCTACCATCGACTAAATGTCAATCTGGTTGCCCGATCAGTGAAGTGGAAGATTAGATACTCAATGATGACGATGGCCAGACCAATCCTAGAAGAAGTGTTGAAGTTGAAGGAGGCCAATTACATCTGAAAGGTCCAATAACCAACCTGGGTCTCAAACGTGGTAATGGTCCTGAAGGCGAATGATAAATGGAGGATGTGTGTAAACTTCACGAACTGCAAGTCGCTTGTACAAAGGACAACTGCTCACTATCAAGGATTGGTGCATTGGTAGACTGAGCGGTCTGTCACTCGGTGATTAGTTTCTTAGACGCCTTCTCAGGATACCACTAGATCAAGATGCACCAATTGATGCTGAAAAACAACTTTTCTTACCGCGAGGGTTTATTTTGCTACAATGTAATGCACTTCGGAGTTAAAAACGTTGGGGCAACGTTGAGCGCTCATGGATATAATTCATTCTAATCAAAGGGGTAGGGTAAAAACATTAAGTGTATGTGAACGTCATACTTGTTAAGAGCCAGTTGGCCAAACAACATATAACTAACTTAAAAGAAACTTTAAAAACCCTTAGAAAATTTAACATAAGTTTAAAGCCATTAAATTGTACCTTTGGAGCCTCCACAGACAAATTCTCGACTAACTCTTGACCCTAGAGGGAATCAAAGTCAACCCAGAAGAAGTGCATGCACTGCCAAATAGGTCTTCTCCTTGAAACACTGAGGAAATCAAGAAATTAACCTACTGAATAGTTAGTTTTAGTAGATTATTTCAAGGTCGGGCAACAAATGCTCAGCGTTTTTCAAAACATCAGGAATTCAAAGAACTTCTAATGGAAAACTGACTATGAGCAGATGTTTGCAAAGTTGAAGGATTCCTTGGCATTGCCACTGCTATTTAAAAGTCCAAAGCCGAATGAAGAACTCTCTCTGTACCTAAAAGTTGAACTTGAGGCCATCAACTCTGTGTTGTTTCGAGAAAATTTGAGGAAATCATTCTCAGTTTACTACACCGGTAGAGCCCTCATGAGCGCCTAACTCAGATATCCAATTATCTAGAAACAAACGTTTCCCTTTTTAATTTTCGCTTGCAAGCTCGGCCATAGTTCCAAATGCCCCTCATCCAGGTAGTCAACGACCATCCACTGAACTCAGTCCTCACTCAGTCGGTGCACTCTAGTCAGCTTCTCAAATGGGCGGTGGAATTAAGCAAGTTCGACATTACATACGTCCCTCAGAGGACAATCAAAGTGGAAGTGGTAACAAACTTCCTGACCGATCGTGCGAGCCATGCAAAGTAACCA